TCCTGATTTTTATACACACACTTTGAGCTTGTGTTTCTAGTTATATACTCTCATATTCATAAGTTTGAATTGCATTTTTGAGAGAGTATACTTTCCTTCTACACCGGCTAAGTTTTGTTCTTCATTTTTATATTCAAGCCGTTGTGTAGAACTCTTGTTTGTGTTTTTCAAACACACCTTCTTACGGTCGAGAATAGCCGTTAAATTCTCACGTTGTAACGGTTAAGGATAGCCGTATAAATCCTTGGGTAAAGGTTCAAGGATAGCCTTAGAAATCCTTGGGGGAACGGTACGAGATAGCCGTTGTAAAATCTCGGAGTGAATCCTATTGGCAAGGGTTGTTTGCCAAACTAGTGCGGGGCTTTGACGGAGTTCAAGAGACCGAGACTTAGTGGATTCAGAAATTCTTAAGGAGGAGCCTTAAGGTACTGGAGTAGGGAGTTCCCGAACCAGTATAAAATCGGTGTGCATTTTATTTACGCTTTTTTTTTGCGTTTTACTTATTGCTTCCGCATTTGCCAACACCGTTTTTATCAAACTCCGAAAAGATTTTCAAACGCCTTATTCACCCCCCCTCTAAGGCGTGGGCACAACGACTAAACCGACTAACAATTGTTCTTCCAAAAACGAAACATCAACCATGGTGGGGAATTATGCTTCTCTGCGTATTTTATCAAAATTAAAAAAAAAATAAAATTGAATACAAATTAACATAAATGGAGGGATGTCCTTTTATATAATTTCACTTACAAACAGCTAACTATAAACAGCAAAAGTTGCCAAACACTTAAAATTTAACAGCTAACAGAAACAGCCGGTCAAAACAGCCAACTCAATCAGCCATTCAAACCAGCCAACATAAACAGCCAACATCTAACTAATAAGGCCCCGTTCCGTTCAACTTATTTTTTCTTAATTTTTCTCATTCTTATTAAAATCAGATCAGATTAGATCAGACCAGATCAAATCAGATCAAATCGAATCAGATCAGATCAGATCAGATCGAATCAGATCAGATCAGATCAGATCGAATCAGATCAGATCAGATCCAATCAGATCAGATCCTATCAGATCAGATCAAATCCAATCAGATCAGATCAGATAAGGACTTATTAAAATCAGATCTCATCAAGAATTATTATTATTATTATTATTATTATTATTATTATTATTATAATTATTATTATAATTATTATAATTATTATTATTATTATTATTATCATCATCATCATCATCATCATCATCATCATCATCATCATCATCATTATTATTATTATTATTATTATTATTATTATTATTATTATTGGTCTTAAAAATGAAAAAGAATAAACTTTAGAAATAGGTTAAATAGAAAACTGAGAAAGTAATCCTTAATTATTAGACGTCGGAAAAATTAGTTTTAAAATACATTGACAATATCAATCTAATTCTATTTTTAAAATATATTTTTATTGCTGCTTGTAGTTTGAGTTTCTAAACTTTTGATCTTTTATAAGGATGAGATATTTTAATAAAAATACTATCTCTTCTATATATTGATTATCTAAATTTAATTACTTTTTAATGTAAATCTAAATTAAATATTTATTCTAATGTATAATTCTAATTTTACAAAAAAATTATCATAAAATAAAAAATATTATTACATTATAATATGAATGATTATTCTAATATATGAATTAACTATTTTTATTTTATTAAAAAATAATCATTAAATAAAAAATATTGATTATATTATAATATGAATTATCATTACAATTTTCAAATGTTATTATAAAGTCAAATTAAATTATTGATTTGAAATTTTAANAAAATTATCATAAAATAAAAAATATTATTACATTATAATATGAATGATTATTCTAATATATGAATTAACTATTTTTATTTTATTAAAAAATAATCATTAAATAAAAAATATTGATTATATTATAATATGAATTATCATTACAATTTTCAAATGTTATTATAAAGTCAAATTAAATTATTGATTTGAAATTTTAAATTAAATCATAATTAATCAGATCAGACCAGATCAGAACACACATACACAGACCTTGTTTTCAACATCAAAAGTCAAGCAAAGTAATATAGTATAAAGTGTATTTAAAATACTAAGAATTCAGTAAATTAACGTAACACAAAAATCTAAAGCATATGATTTTTAATAGTTATATTTTATAAAATATAATTTGTGTAAGATGAAAATGTATTAATGTTTTTATATACGGAATATATATAGTATAAAGAGTATCGTAAGTTAAATTACAAATTGATGTTAGTCCATCATATAAATTACATAGTATTATTATTCAAATATTTGTTTATGATTCGATAACTATTCGAATATTAATCAAATACTTATTCAAATCTTATTTTGAATTCGTCTCATATTCGTATTCGCATTCGTATTGGAAAAAATTAAACAAATACAAATTCAAATATATCGATATTTGCTTCAAATATATTTGATGCTTCCAACCACACCATCAAATATCTTATTTTGATGCTTCCAACCAACAAATACACCCCTATTGCCAAATAGGGCCATAAACCTAAATAGCTTGTAAACAGTGTTTTAGCTTTCAAATATATTTGATGCTTCCAACCACACTAGGTATAATATAGACCCTTCATATTTTTTGAGTTGAAAATTTCATCAAACATGTTCTGTGCATCACCGAAAATCTAAAAACACCAATGAACCAATCCATTAAGAGGTACGCAACTCAGAATAGGAGAGTCCTAGATAAATCGCATAGGCTTTAATTTATTTAATTTGAAGGGATGCAAAATAAAAAACAGCGTTGCTGCAGAATTCTTGCATGTAGAGGAGCGATGAGGAAGAGACATACTTCTTGCCTAGTTCTTCTTCCGATCAAGAAGAACCACAGAGAAGTGCATACAATAAAAGCAGAGGAGCAACACAGATGAGTGTTCCAGAGTTTTTCGTCCGTCCAGCCAAGCAAATAGGTGTATACACTATCTACAGTAAATTCTATATATGAAAGACGAGGAGGAGGAAATAGCTTGTAGTCTATTTAATAGACTACCTGTTGGAGATGCTTTTTGTGTACAGTAAAAGCTTTATCATTTATTTTTAACACTTTGCTCACTTTTACCAGCTGCTTTGGAGTTGCTCTTACGATCTCATCCCGTACATGTGTTTGGCAACCACAAAACTAAACATTTTCACTAAAATATAGAAAAAGTATTTAAATATTTTTTTATTGTTTTTTTTCGAAATATGAGTTCGCACTGTAGTAATGTGAATGTAATGTAGCAAAGTACACGTGCACTGATACGAATATCGTATCGGGATAGGGAAGAATTTCGAGCGTTGTTCAAGCTCCAAGAAAAAGTGGTAAAGAAGGGTGGAAAACTTCGAGCGTTTCTGGACTCCAAAGGAAAGAGATACGAGAGATTAAGAGAATTTTTGATTATTGATTGACTGCATAATAACGGGGAAGGATTACAAAATATAGAAAGTAATATGATACCCTAATGGGCTCGGGCCCATACTAAACCCTAAACCCTATTAATTAAATAATATTAAATA